TTACAGCCACATTTCTAGTATGTACATTAGATGTTACATTCTCAGCGGTCTCGTGGTGCTATGAAACGCACGGTTCAGTCTAGAGTCTAGACCACATTGAGGAGAGGCAAGACGGATTTCGCTACCCACATCATTTTGATATTCAGCTCAATGGAAGTACTGGCAAGGCCCAACTCTGAGGTCAATGTGTTCTTGAGAACCGACCCCGCCTCGAGTCAAGAGGCTCTCTCCTTCAGCTTTCGGTATATTTTTAGCGAACTTTCTAACGAAGGTTACACGCCGCTCCGCCTAAACTGACTTTTAATCAAGCCAAGGCCGTCGAGGGACTGCTAAGGACAGTCGCTGAATACCTTCGGGATGGTCGAGTGGATTTTCACTCAATGTCTGAGACAGTTTCAAGGAAAACCCCTCTGACAGTGTCAGACATGGAGACAAGACGAATGAGATTGTATACGATTGTATACCTCGGTAAATGTGGGTATAGTTGAAATAATAAAGCTAAAATACCAAATATAGTATGCAAAGCAGAAGGATAATACTCACCGATCGAATACAGAAACCAGACATATGATGGCCAAGCAATAGAAGGTATTCAAATAGATCTCCGCAAATCCCGCATAGTCGCTGATCAGGGCCAAAGCGTCGCTGCTGCTTGTCGCCGATGTTCCTGATCCCGACGATGCTGTTCCACTGGGATCCGTACCACCCGCACTGAGGCCCAAATTTGTGGTGCTAGATCTTGTTGTGGTCATGTCCATCGCTAATGGTGTGGATGTTGTTGATGAGGATGGCATTGTCTCGCCAGCAAGACTAATGCCATTGATGACCTTTGCCCAATCCATCGGATGGCTGCTCAGCACAAAGAGTAGATGGGCCAATGCTAGACCAGCTAGCAGGCCGTGGCATATATTCGAGAGGAGCAGCCAGATTCGTTGAACCACACAGGCTAGTTGTATACTGCTGGTGATGCCATTGCTGAAATGATTGCAGGATTGGTTATTAAATATCTAACAGAACCCCAACTAGATTCCCAAGCCCCCAACCTCTAAAAATATCCATTTTATCCCATTCTCGGTTCGTCTTGTTTTTCTTAGTCTAACATATTTCCTTTGCAAGTGTAACTAATTTTTCCTGAATAAATATATCATAGGAACCTCCTGCACTTATAGTATCATAATTTTTAAAGGATTTCCCCGATTTTCGGGTATTCACTCACCGATTTAAGTCGGCATCGAGCAGGCAGCGGGTGTCAGCATAGCTGCCACGTCCGCTGGTTGAACCACCACCGCCCCCAGTACTACCACCTCCGCCAAGGCAGTGGCCGCCATGCGAGCGATAGAGACGACCGGCGCCACCCAGCTCGGCAGCCGAGATGCCATTGATGGCGCCCGCAGGACCCCCGCCAGCCGTGCCACCTGGGCCACGTGCGGCAGCTCCCAGGAAGGAGCGCTTGTAGTAGCTGTGCTCCACTGGTCGATACCCGGATGACGTCTGCAGAAACATTTTGTCGATGTGCGCGGGCGCATCGTCCGTGGGTGAGACGACCGGTGTGAATGGGTTGTAGATCTCCTCGCCCTCGGCCGGAGCAATGTCATCAGCCAGCTCCTTTAGTATGGAGGATATCCCCCCCGCCGTGTACAGCTTGCCTGCAGGAAAGGGATGGTTGGGAGAGAGAACGAAAGAAAGATATTGGGGCATTAGTGCGCAGAATCGTAGGGGGAGTGGGTGTTCAGGTGGGTCAGAGCTTTCCTCCTCCTCCTCCTTTCTCGTCGTATGGGATTTTACTGAATGGAATTCTGGCTACTCACTGATTAGCTGTCCCCGCTTGTCCCGCTGCGACTTCGTCTTGCGTTGCACGCGTCGCTCCTCGTAGCTCTGATCGATTTCCAGCTCGCCGGACAGCGAGGCGTCGTGCATGTCGGAGCACTGCTTGAGGTACCGCATCAGGGTCTCGTTGGCCTGGCGGACCACCTCCACTTCCCCGGCAGCTATCAGCTTGCGCTCCCTCCTCCTCCGCGACTCCGACTTGCTACGTTTGCGTCGCGGACTCTTGTCAAAGCTGTTCCGAGAGCGCAGCGATCGCTGGGCGGGACTGGCCTGCGGATCGGACAGTGACTGCTGCTTGCGCGATGTCCCAGGCCCTCCAGCGCCATTTCCGACTGCAGTTGCTCCCGCACTGCTGAGGGCCGAGGGTGTGGGCGAGCTCTGCTTAAGCTCGCGATCCATGTAGCCCAAGATGCCTCGATGAAACGAGGAGTCCGCTTCCAGGGCCTGTGGCTGCGGCGAATGGTTTCGCCTGGACCTGTGGTGGCCATGGGTGGCCGGCAGCTGCTGCAGTGTCTCCCTCAGGCTCATGGCATCTCCGGATGAGTTGCGACTGCCATCGCTCTGCTTCGTTGGCTGCGACGGCAGTGACGGTGGCGGCGCCGGAGAATCCAGATGCTCTGCGGCCCCCAAGGAGGCGCTCTCCTCTTGGGTGGTGTCGTGCGCGGAGGGCGGTGCGTGGCCATTGACCAGCACCACAGTCTGCTGTGAGGTCTGACTGGGGGAGCCTACCATCTCAATGCTATCCGCCGAGCTCTGGGCACTGATGCGACCGGCGCTAGTGGTTCCCCCCGCTCCTGTAGTGCTTCCCTCAGCCGCTGCTCCCATCGAGCTGGAATCGTTCAGAGCCGCTGCACAGTCCTCCATAGTGCTTATCACCTCCTGACCAGCATCTCTCTCCGGGGTTGTTGTGGTAGTGGCAGCTGCCTCGCGCTCCAGTCGACGCTGACGCGCCTCCGTCCGTCGCTGTCGCTGGTGCTGGCGATGCACCTTGGCTGGCTGCTGGCTGGCCTCCATTGCGTCCTATCGCTCTCGCTGTCGCTCTCTGGAGATGGTCTAGGCAAGCTTCATAACAGGTGGATGATGGGCTGAATGCTGGCAACTTTTAGTTCGCTGTTTTCAGATGCAGCTTTTGCACGTTCTTGTTGTTTTGTGATGCCTGCTTTGACCCAAATAATTATGCACTCGGGGCTGCGCCCACAAAACAACCCTAGAACCCCCTAACAACACACTGGCGGACACTTGGCAGCTCGGCTGAGAACTTTGGGCATGTTCTCGAGGCCTTCTCTTGAATATTATTTTTGGTGCAATTGCAACGGCGTTTCCTCGAGGATTTCTCTAGGATATAGCAGCATGAGGCACTGAAAAAAAATCTGAAGAAGAACGCGCGCGCCACAGAGGAGAACGTGGCGATGTGGAAGAGTGACAGAGAGCTCTCCACAGGACTCGAACGAACGCGTACTCACAGCGAGATTTGCGATTGATCCGTGTGTAGTGTCCGTCGCCGCAGCTGCTTGACGACTGAAACTAAGCTCCACCAGCAGTGTACGAAATAGCTTTGCCTATTCTATGCTCTTCCTTTCGAATCGTGCTTCGACTTGTCGTTTCGTTTCGATTCGTTTTGGGGGGTTGGCTGGTTGGTTGTTTGTGTCCCGCTTCCTGTAACGTAGTAACGAGCTTCGGCGAAAGCTTTTCTTTCGTACAATGACGTCAACAGTGCGTGTCTGAGCGTCCACCCACACACGAGCACACAAACATGTGTCTGATCCAACTGTTTGCGTGTGTGTGTGTGTGTGTGTGTGTGTTTTATTGACAAATTCTATTTTTAGGCATCTATAAAAATGTTTGAGCACAGAATGGGATTTAATTTCTCCGTTTGGCTGTTTAGGGAGTGTGGAGTAGGGAGTAGGGAGTGTAGGGAGCAACACCATAGCCTAAGCTCCAAAGCAGCTGTGGTTACACTGAGAAAAATCGAGCTCACCTAATTTTGCAAATGTTAAAATAATTGTATAACAAGCATGCATATGTACATATTTACATATACAAGCTGGCATCGAATTAATTTCTGCTGCTTAACAAGTGTAAGATTTTCTTTTCAGTGCATTGAAATTGGTTTTTGTGAGTCGCCCCCCCCCAGCCCAAGAGTCGCATCCTGACGCTGCCGCAGCAGCAGCTGTCCTGTCTTTTTTTGCAAAACTGAATTCGCCCACACTTTTGCACTCTCGCTCTCTCGCCCACTCTCTCGATGACTGGGAATCGATAAATGCGTGGTAGAATGTCAGCTTGGGTCGAACTACTGCGCAGCTTTCGCCTCTGATGACGTCAATGGAAAAAGCTCGCCTCAAACACCACGCCGCAACAACAGCAAATGCCAACCCACCAGCAGCCCCACACCCACCTCAACGAAGCACACAAAAGCCGGCAAAAGCTTTTCAGGGGGGCCAGGCGCAGCAAAATTTGATTATCGTAAAGCGTGAGGCCAAGAGAGGCATATGTCAGAGGCATCTTCTGGCGGTGGCAGGAGTGGAGAGGGAGTCGGAGGCTTCTGGCGTTGGTGTTAGCTAATGGCCCTTGAAATGGCAAAAGGCGCTGAGGAATTGGCCAACACCAACATGCTGTGGGCCAACTCCTAGTGCTCTCTCTTTCGACGCGAACAGACAGACAGAAAGTCTCAGAGAGAGAAAGAGAGAGAGAGAGAAAAAAAAAGAGCAAACGTCATGACCATGACGTCACAATGACGTCAGTGGGCACATTGCCAAAAAATAATCGGCTAAGGAGTGAGGCCAAGGCGGCTTCCAGCAACGTCGAAATGTTCGCAGTCAGGCTGCAAAAACATCTTCAAGTACCGCTCTCAGGTCGATACAGAAAACGGGGCGACACAAGATCTTTAATTAATTCTGCCTTATGCCTTGTTTTCTGGTTGACAGAAAGAAACCACAAAGGTCAAAGCTATTCCTTAATTTTATCTGTAAAATGATTTTTTTTTTTAAGTAGATTTATGAATGAATTTCTTTGTCAGCCATACATCCACACAATGAGTGCTACATAGAATGGAGAGCACTCGACAACCCTGTCCATAAATCAGTTAACGTAAACACATATATTTGTACATATGTATGTACAGGATTAACCATGGCAACCTGGAGCTTGTTACATCAATAAAGTCAGTCACAATACAGCCGGTCAACGCAGAGAGTAGAGAACATTCCATTGCTGACTATGCCCCTTCTGGAGGCGCCTGCCGAGTATCTGGAATCCTCGCCAGAGCATTCCCTGCAGGCGGAGCTGCCGCTTCTGTTGGCAGCCCCAGCGGGACCGGCGGCCTTGGTCCAAGTGCGCCTGCCACTGCCCGAGGTGCATCATCATCCACAGCAAGTCCATCAGCAGCCACCACGGAACCATCGACGGCAGTTGGCTCGCCGGAACTCGTTTGATCGGGATGTGGCAATTGCCGAGGAAACGCAGCATTTCCCGGCCTTTGTGCACCTGCTGCCCGTAGTGCTGCCCCAGCAGGCCCCAGAGCCGACCCTGGATGAACTCCTGGTAGGTCACGACGAATCAAAGTGCATTTTCGGCACCAACTGGTAATCCACCATTCCCTTTTAGCGGAGAGTAACCCAGCGAACGGACCTGGAGGCGGTTGAGACGGTGCGTCTCAGAGTGATCTCCTATACGATCAGTCTGTCCCGGCTGTCGTTGTTCTTGCCACGACTCCAAAACCTAGACCTGAGCGGCAGTGTACTGAGCTCTCTGCGGGACTTGGGCTACGGGCTGCTTCAGCTGACCCACTTGAATATTAGCAACTGCGGCCTCAACAGCTTCGATGGCACCAGTGGCCTGCCCGCCATCAGGGTCCTCATAGCAGACGGCAATATGATCCAACGGGTGGATCCCCTCGTCGAGCTGGTACAGCTGCGGGTGCTTAGGGCTCGCAACAATCGAATCAGCGAGCTGGGCCTACTCTCGTTTCTGGGCATGTGTCCGCTGCTGATGGAGGTGGAGTTTCTGGGGAATCCTGTCTGTCGCCTGCCCCTCTATCGCGACATGCTCAGTCGCAGCGTGCCCACTTTGCAGCTTCTGGACGGAAACACGCTCAACTCGGCAGCGGTAGTTCCTACCCAAATAGTAGAAAACGATGAGGCTCCGTCCTCACTTTCCAGTGAGGCATCCGCAGGGAGCAACGAGTCATCGTCACCGCCTCCGCCATTGGGACGTCCGGCAACGGCTCCAGCTCCTGCACAGATCTCGCTCAATGCCGGCATACGGCGGCAGTTATCAGTGGCATCCACTTCCACTCCGGTGGCTGGCTCGGTTCTGGGTCTAGTGCGGCAACGTCGTCGCCACATGGGCCACGCCTGGGTCAGTTCCTCCAGTGGTTCGTCCTCCGCTTCGTCGTCCATTGCCTCTCGGGCCCCCTCGAGGAGCTCTTGCTCTTCCAACAGCAGTCTGGACGTGCAGTCGACCTATGCATTCACTCCACACTCCACAGTGGACTAACTGCTGTTCCCAGTCGTAAATTGCTTAGCTACATAAATAAAAGTTTATTTTACGTGATTCTTGAAGTCTTGTCTACAGATGGGTCAAATGTATTGTGTATCTGGCTCAACAGCTTCTATAAGCTGAAATTTTCGGATATGTCAAAGTAAAAATTAGGATACCGATGGAACCCAATAATAAAAAATCAAATGCCCATGATTTTAAATTGGTTTCTGCCAGTTTCGAAAAGGATAAGGTTAAGGATAAGGATGGTAAGTTACTTGGTTATATGTATATATTTGTTCACCTAGATTGTCCGCAAATTAAAATTATACTCAATAAGTGCACTTTATTGGAGAACTCTGTAAAACGGCACAACATCTGATGTCTAGCAATTTGTGTGCGAAAGTTAATGGTGCAGTTAACAAGATCGTATTAAATATATTCATATATAACCTTTCCTATTCGGTGTAGGTATATTGAAAGAGCGCAGCCGATGGCGATCGAACGGGAACCAACTGATTCTGGCCGTCTGGATTGCGAAAGACGATGTAATCACGGCCGTTAATCAGTCGTCGAACCCCGCCATCGGTCGATGGATCGTTGCCGAGAAGAACCCCGTTGCCCTGGCCCATGGCACGTCTCCAGCGATGGCGAGGATCTGCAGCCCCAGCAGCATTGCCATGGCCCCCGTTGAAAATGCTCTGATAGGGCGGTGGAGGAGTGACATTCTGGCCCAGGGTGGAGGTTCCCAGCAACTGCTTTTGTCCACTATCCAAGCGCTGCCAGCCCCGCAACCAGCGCGATGGTTTTATGGACTGGCCATTGGGAGTGCGTCCGATGCCATGACGAGCCCACTTATTGGCCTCGTGGCGACTATTCACGTACCGGAAGATGAGCTCAGTGCTGAAAACAGCCAGAGATGTGGCGAATCCGGCCAGCATTATGTAGTAGGTCATCATCAGGTCGCCATTCCTCAGCTGCCGCTCAGTGCCGCCCAGGTCCTGGGGACATATCTCGGCGCTGGGCAAATCCTTGGCCGACAAATGCTTCACAATACCCGATTCCACCAGATTGAGTAGTCTGGAAATATTAGATTGCTACAATCGGTGGTACATGGTCTGGCTATATCCTACTCACTCCGGATCAAAAAGCTGGCTCAAATTCGAGCCAATGGGATAGGCGAAGGTCCGCTTCTTCTTGAGGAACGGCTCCCTGGCCATGGCAAAGGGACAGTGGATCTTTTCATCGCTGTAGCTGATTGTCTTACGATACAGATAGTCCTGATACAGCATTATATTGATCGCAGGACGATCCCGAACAAACACATATCCATTCCTCTCCACATAATTTTGGAGATTGTACGTGTCGTTCGTCTCATCAGAGAAAACCGCATAGTTGTTCTGTATCATCCGATTCAGCATGGACAGCGATTCGTTAGTCTGCAAGGTAAAAGGTATATCGTATATGGAATATGGAAAATGGCCTAACACGTATTTGATCCAATCAATTACCGTTCGTATGGCATACTCAACGCCACCACCCCGCATCGAGACAAAGTGTTTGTTCTTCACCAAGATATCGTTGACCGTGTTGTACGGCAGCGTGAACTTGGAGAGGGTAAGGAAAGCCGTCAGGTTGGCCGTATAGAAGGACGTCAGTATCGTGATGAATATCCACCAGGTGGCGAAGAGCAGCCGGGTCGAGTCTGCAATGCTTTTTAATGAATTCAATGAAACGACAAACGTGACCCAGGCATGCAATCTCCCAGTCCCCATTAGGTCGAAGCGATTCATATCGGTCTTCACCTGCACTTTGGCCTAATTGCAGCTAAACTGAACAGCCAAACACTCACCGGCAATGGGCGACAGGGTGCTGCCCTGTTTCATTAGCGCTCCATATACGAACCAAGCGCAATGGCCCAACGAGTAGGGATGTTGAACTCCGTCGCCCGTCAGGCGATTCCTCAGAATGATCAGCACATAGATGATGGGTCCTACGGCCAGCAGAGATACTAGAATCAGTATCCAGACCCAAAACTCAAACGGTGCCAGCAGGCCAGAACCACTAGCCGATTCCCTGGGCCGCTGCATCACCATTATCCATTCGCCCTCGTCCAAGGTAGTTGTTGAATAGGAAACGAAGGTTCTTTGGTCCGAAAGGGAGGGAATGAAGGCAGCTGCCAGATCCACAAGCTGAGGAAGGAATGGGGGTCAAGTGTATCAAGGTGAATCCCTGCCAGATACTCACACTGTTGTTGACCATCTCGATGAGACTGCGATCAAAGTCGGTGGGCGAACCGATAATATTGTCCTGCGGCACGAATACCTCGTACGTAAAGTTGAACTTCTTCTTGAGGAAATCGATGATCTGAAAAGAGACCCCGTGACCGATGCGCGTGCCATTCTCCAGTACCTCCGTATAGCTCAGCGGATAGTCCTCGAGGGTGGCGATGCGCAGGTGCTTGCCTTTGATCCAGTCACGCATCTCGCGTAGCCTGAGCTTCTTGTTGATTATCGTATCCAAGGTCTCCACGGGCGTATCGTTGTCCAGGCCGACATCAGAGGCATCAATATCAATGGGCATTTCGGTGGACATGCTCATGTTGCCATCACCGCTCAGCTGGATCAAATTCGCTGGCAGGGATTCGTTCAGAGCCGGGCAGGCAACGCACAGGGCTGCTGCCACGAGGAGCTCAATTCCTGTGGCCATCGATGCGAGATGCGAGAAGCGATGGAGATGGAGATGGTGATGGAAATTTCCTGGTGCTGTTCGTTGCTTTTCTAGTTTCCCAGCTTTTTGCGCTTCCTGGGCATGCTGTTCGGCTACAGTTGCGTTCGTCCCGACGCCGTGGACCTCACTGAAATGGAGAGTGCTTCGCTATGGGCACCGTGAATCACAATTTTCTGTCACGAGCAGTGGATTGGTATGTAAATATAGCCCTAGCCGGTGCATGCATCGGCATCGACCCACAGCAAATACAATTAACAATAATGACAAGTGCAAACATGACAGTCAGCAGTAACCACTCAACCTCCACCGCCCCTATACATTGTATGCAGATTATAAGTTTTGATTAGGCCTCCTTCCGTCCTTCCTTCCTACCTTCCGCTCATTGCTCGCGGAAGGAGTCATGTGGGCATTCCCAGGGGTCCCATATTGACACGAATCAAGCTAATGAGCATGAGCCAGCCAACGCCACCAGCTTAAGAAAATATTGTGTGTGGAAATATAGTTCAAGTCCAGCCAAAATGGGTTATGGATTATATAGCCATTGTCTAAGTCCACTTACGTGTTCAAGGACATGTTAAGGTACTTCTTGTCCCCAATCGACTGGCTCGAATCGATTTTCTAGATTCCATAGAATACAAAATCAATGCATTATTCAATGGCCATCTACAAATTATAATCTATCTATACACCACATTGTATAATATGTATATGTAATTTTCTTAGCAGATTATCGCAGAGAGTGGGTACAAATCCATTCAGACCTCTCACAGGGATATTTGTTCAATTTTATTCCTAGAGTATAGTGTACCAGAGCCAAATTACAGTTTCCAATCATTTTATTGTCGATGCTTTGATAAGAACTATCAACTATTAACCAAAGCGACCATTACCGTCCGACATTTCGCTGCTGTCGCCCGTTCCCAGGGCATTTTTACTGCATTTGCAGTCCTCGCCGCCGTCGACGCCTCCCTTCCCAGAGGTTAGAATACGCACGCCCTCGGCGAATTTTGGGAAGCCGGACATGGTCTCTTTTATGGTGGTCATCATCACAGGCAGATACATGAAGAAGTCTTTGAAGTGGCCAACAACCGTGTGATAATCCACCGATCTTCCACCGCCAGAGTGTTGGTAATTTCCATCCGAATCGATCTCATTCCCCCCAATGGAAGATGTATAAGGTAGGGCACTGCATTGCTGCAAAACTGTTAGAAAGAAGTTCATAAATATAAATTTATATTCTTTTTTATATTCATAATGTACTGAACCTTACCCAACACGAAGGCGATTGCAGCTGCTTGATATCGTTGCTTGTCGTCGTCTCTCATGGCGAAGAATTTTCCGCAAATGTGCAACTCCGAGAAAACGACATCGTCATTTATAACATTTTGGTCTGCGCGGTAAGCAGAAAATTTCAAGAACTTTTTGTCGACTGATTTTCATTTCGCTTCGGGCTTCTCTCGGTTCGCGCTGAGGTTCGCACAACAACAAAATTATTCAAAGAAAAAAAACTTTGCATAACCAATGTTATTGCTGAAGAAAAGAAATCTCAGATTGAAATTGAAGAAAAGCGAGGCGACACCAGAATTCTCATTTGATTAACAATTAGTTTTAATTAAATTTAGGTTTTCCGCAAACGTTGAAAGATTTTAAGAGCTTATCCATCGACATTTTTTAAGAACATATAGCTATATCCGATTAATAAGGATTAACTAATTTGTATTAAATGTATATATTTCAACAAATATCGTATAAAATACGATAAGAAACACTTTTTGAATTAATTCAGTTACGTGTTCTTCGCAGTGAATGGCTCTTTGCTATTCTCTATCGATATTTACTTATCGATACTTAGTTAAGCCCAAACCCCACAGGTGGCGCCCCCACGCAATTGGCGCCAAAGCAAAAATTTTTAAATTTTTGAATGAGCTAATTTTCTGTTTCTTGGACTCGATCAAACGCGTATCAATTGAATAGATTCGTGCTAAAAATAGAAACAATGTCCGGATTCCAGGTGAATCACGGCTTGACAGTGGCGTTCATTAAAATGGGTCACCAGGCCCCGCATTTAATTGATACAATTTGAATTGGATCTCATCGAGAACAGCTGAAATTGAATTTATGGAAATGCAACCGCAGCTATACTGTATAGTTAATTAGTAAAGCCTGTACAAATACTATACAAATTTAGATAGATAACGTAGAACTTGAGAAACTAGCCGGCCATGTCTCGCTTCAACTATAGGCAATAACGTACAGAATCTCATGTGGAGAACCAAAGTTGGGGCACAAAAATGTGCGAATTGAATGCCATACTAAACCGCAGCACATGCACACACGCCTCCCGCCCCCCCCGACTCAAGTTCAAAGTCAATGACAATGCAACTGCTTGACCTTTAGCTCATCATCACCCTCTGCTACTGCTTGTCTCTCATTTTCTCTCTCACGCTTTTCCCCATTTTAGCAGTGATAATTGTTATTGCTTTTCGGCACTTCCCAGCGAAACCGTTGAACGGTACGGATGGGTTAATAGGGACGGCGCAGGGGGCAATTCGCGCGCAAAAACACGTACAGAATTGAGAAATTTCAACGTTTAATAAACAGCAGTCAGCGCCGACACCGGCTCACAAAAATGAAGCAGCAATTATGCCGGAGCTTTATTGATGTTCCATGCGAAATAAATTGTAACAGGTTTCGTGACGCGCCCCACAGTGCGGCCGTGTGTAGAGGCATATGTGGTGCGTGCGTGCGTGTGTCATCCACGCGCGCCGCTCTGCTGGAATCGCTCGTCAGTAGGGTGACACCTCGAACAGTACAGCACTTGAGGGAGGAGGCAGTCCGATAGGGGAAGGAATTGAAGTCGAAAAAGTGCTTTCAAAAGAATCCGCAAAACCAAAAACACCCTAATGTCTCATTATTATGGATCCAATGAAATCGATAGGAAACTCCCATCGGAGCTGGTGCCGCTACTTCTGCCAAAAGAGATCCACGTGCTTGCCATTTGCGATATGGTAATCAGAACACTGCCACGCTCATATACCCATCCCCGTGCCCATCGCCATTCCCATAGCATCGATCGTCCGATCATAGATTATTAATATCTATTTTGTTTGATTTTGTGATTCACAAAGAAGTGCAATTTATCATCGAGCAAACGTAATTACATTTTAACATGGCGCTAATTATGGCTAAAAAAAAAGTATATATTATATAAGTTTAAAGTATATAAGAATATGGAAAGAAGACTTAGGCAAGATATCACAGGGAATTCACAGAGGAAAGCAGGTCCCATTTGGAGGTCCCATTGAGGCTAGATCACAAAGTCCGGGCGACTGTTCTCCCGGGTTATGAGGAAGGGACGCTGCTCGCTGGGACAGTGGAAGGTCTCAAACAGTTGTGTGGCAAAGCCGCTCTTCTCGCCCGGCAGCTCGAGCATGTTGTTCCAAATGGAGTTGGCGGCAGCGGCGTGGCCCCGTTGACTGAGATGGAAGCAGTCCTCGGAGAAGAAACGCGTGTCCGTCATTCCAGAGCGGGTGCGCGGGAAGTCCCGAAACTGTGAGAACGGCTGCACGTTGATTGTGAAGGTCTGAAAGGGAGAGGGAAAGGGAAAGGGAAAGTGATAACACAACCATCCGTTGAAACTAAAGTCAAAGAGAAGCTTGAAGGCTTTTTCATGCCCTTGCCTCACCTCCGTATTGAACTCCTCTCTGTTGGCAATCTCCGAGTCCTTGGCGATCCAACGTTTCATGATGCCTTCCAGGTAGTCCAAGCGCCTCTTGCCCTTCCCCATCAGGCAGGGGCACTCGAACCGCAGAGTGCTGTAGCAGGCGGGTGGGAGGCCCGACAGGCTGGTGAGAAAACGGAGATTCGGTGCCGGCACCACATTCAGCATGAGACGGGGCACATTGTCCCGGAGATAGCGATAGGTCTTCAGCATGTTCTGCTCATGCCACTTCACCGTCATCTCCGGCTCCGGATAGTAGCAGATGTCGGTGCAGAAGTCGTTGTTCCCAATGAAGAGGGTGATCAGCTTCCAGTCCCTGGTCATGTTCACATTGGGATCCCGCTGCATGCGCTTCACCAGAACCGTGGCCATGTACGGCATGTCCCTGGACATGGCTGCCAGCTCTGCCACATCGAAGCGGGACGTCCGATCGGTGGAGATGCCATCCTTGATCGCGTACCCGTACAGGTTCGGATTGAACTCCTTGAGGATGTTGGGCAAGGTGAGGTACTTTCGCCAGTTGTACTGGCCCCCAATGGACCACACCACGCCCCGATTCTCCACGGTCACGTGCAGCAGATTGGTGGCAAAGATCCCGTTGCCAGCTGTCAGAGAGTCGCCCATTGCTCCGATTACATCGATATCACCAGGTCGCAAACGATGCACGCTCGTCGGTCGATCCTCGCTGCGTCTGCCGGGCCCGTTCTCCGCATCACAGAACTGGAGCAAGGCCCGAGTCCGCGGATTCGATTTTTGGGTTTTCTAACGGAATCGAAATCGGAGTCGGAAAAGAACGAAGAGCAATCCGTTAGTGCTGCAAAGCGAGTGCTGATCCACCACGAACTTTAATTCATCCCGGATCCGTTGGCTGGACTTACCCCTGCATTTTGCACGCGCTGCACGTTTTGTAGATCGTCACCAGACCTCCCTGTGAAGGCCAGGCCAAGTAGACGCAACGGACGGTAGACATTCCTCAGAGCCACATCCAATGACGTGCGCTGTGACGTCACACACCCAAGAGAGATCAGGAAGATCACAGCCAAAACTGGAGCCCCATGCGATGACATCTTACCGAACAGCTACACAGAGAGAAGGGGGATGGAAAACAATGGGCTATACGAGATCAGTAAATGGTAAGTCACTAATGAGGTCTGTAGGGCTCGGGTTCGTTCGTGTATAGTCTCTGTTTTACTCTCGATTTCTTTGGTGACGTCGTCCTCGACTCTGAACCAGTTCCCCGTCTGAGCCGCGACATTACACAGAAGTCAGGCGTCTTCAGTTTATTCACCTTTGTGATTTGTGTATTTTGTTTTGTCTTCTTTGGAATAAGTTTGCGGCTCAGCTGCTCAGCAGTTCAGCTGGACCGACAAATTTTAGCATTTTGGACTTAAATAATATTCACAAAATTATGCTAATTGATTGACTTTCGTAAAAAATCTGTGAAAACCAGCAATCAATAATGATATGAGTAATCCATTTGGGCATTTGGATATTTGGGCAGCCGAATAGTTGAATAGGTGCGAATGGTGTCTTAACGAAAACCGCTTGGCGATGACAATTATTTTCTTAAGATGGATTCATTTCGTGAATTTGTGCCGTCTTCTTCTGTCTACTCGAATTATCTGGGTTCCATTCATCTTGACTTATATGCATACGTATCTTTCATCTCTCACGCGCAGAACTATTAAGTGTCATTTATTTAAATTTCATTCCATGCAAAGGTTTACCAACAAATTATCAAAATTATGTTGGACTGCAGGCGGAAGTGTCGAGGAATAGGGAAACCGAGTTTAACCGAACCGAAACAGAACCGAAACAGAACCACATACGACAGACGCTAGAGAGCGTGCCAAATCCAGTTGTGATAAAGATTGATTTAAATTTTGATTTCATTTAACTAAGCGAAACTGCTTCCTTTCAGCACAAAGCGAGCAGAAAACGAAACAAAAGACTTAGGAAACAAACGCAGACAAATAGAACAACATGAGAAGAGATATATTTACCTACATATGTATCTATATATATGTACATACATACATATATTAGTATCCGAAAACCACAACCTATAGCTATCACCACGGGCTTTACCTTTTAAGTGCAATCGTTGTCGCGATCACTTTTCACTTTTTTGAAGATCCCAATACCGATATCGGGCTAACGAGTACTTCGAGTGCTTTGGGTAAATCTTGCAACTGTCACACGAACACGAGTTGCACAATTACACAAGAGAGCGCCCAAAAAGAAATTGATCAATATTCCAGGCCAGAGGCGGAGTGAGCGTCCGGCTCCGTCAATTGCTTAGAATCAACTGCTTGGTAGAATTTCCGATTATGTTGATTTTATATGGATAGAGCCCACAAGTCCCCAACGGACGGCCGTCTGCCGACGGTAGACGGCGGACTACGCATAGAATAAAATGAAATACAACTAAAAACAAAACAGCAACAACAATCGAATCGCATACGAAACACGCGAAAAAGAACAAAAGCAAAGTAAAACAAGTAAGAACGCCGTACTCGAGTATTCCGACTATCAAATACCCCCGCTACTCTACGCCTAATAGAGTCGCGCTCTACGAGTAAAACAATTTACAAATTCGCGGAGAAGGAGTGTATTCTGATTGTGAAAATGATCCAATTTGGATTCTTGAATCTCATTCGTAATCATTTCGGTCCCCGTACCTTCTAACATCTTTTCGGCTGGTGTGTTGCATAGACGCGCACGAACAGAATATACCCTGGTCCCGTACGAGCCCCAGGTATCCCCGGACAGCAACAACAAGTATTGGCGCTGTCTGAGCTTCAACACACTCGACAGACAGACAGACAGACTGATAGACAGACGAGAACACAGGCAGACGAAAGGACAGAGGACAGACAGACAGACCGCCCAGGCCCAGCCCAGCCTAGCCCAGCCCAGCCGGTTACGGCTGAGACCGACTGAGAAGCGTTAAATTTGTGATATTCACTTTCGTTCAGGCTGATAAAAATAGTGTCCAGACCAGACAGAGATAGACTCGGGCAATACACTTGTCATGCGTGATGGCCTCTGACCGGTCCCCGCCAAGGGGTTCCGATTCTAAACTCCAAACGACAAGTCATCGTGTGTCTGGTGTCTTCTTCTTCGAGTTACGGGATAAAATCGGGCATTTAAGACTTGAAGCTTGGTAGCGAAACTGTTATAAATAGAAACGGGCAAGCGGGCAGACTTTGGTCCAGGTCTCAGAAGCAATTTATAGACGCTAATTTGCTCATGTGGTGGGGAATGGGTATGAGAATGGAGATGGGGATGGGGATTTGTATACATATAAGCCGTAGGGCTATAAAACAGAAAAGAATAAATTTGCACTTGCATTAGCGGCAAGACAGGGCAAAGGAAGAAGTAATGGGGAATGAAACTAGATAGGATCTCTATGTGGGGCTATAAAAAAGTATATTTATATCGTAATAAAATTGCACTTGCGTTGGGGAGGCCCAATGATGGGGAAACTACGGGTTACTTTGTACTTAATATCCACCGATAAATCCAGAGCTCCCCGATCTCCACCCCGCATCAAACAAGCGGATATAACACTTCCTATACAAGACATCTATACAATCTCCCCCCCGGACCATCCATGCCTAGTGCAATTGATTAACCTTGTGTCAATCCAATAATAACGGCATGGAAACAACGAACAAGAAGAAGAAGCACCAGCTACAAGCAACAACTTGTTATAAGTCGTCAGGCCCAAGCAACAAGAAGGAACCGTAAAAACCAGAGAGAAAGGCCAGAGCCTCAAGCGCCGTATCTTTAAATACCCTTCCAATCAAAGACCTAATCATCAGTGGTCCCAACTGGCGAGGTTTGATAACTTTTGGTTGCGACCTACTGATTATATTGCAATCTAATGATACGAAGATCCCATCTTGTCCGTTTCCTTGTACTTCAGCAATAAAAAAGAACTGTGTAAATTTTAAGCAATGTAACGTTATAAACTCGTACTTCAGACACTCTGACAATCTTTCTATTATTTGCAAACATGAGGGTAAGGTAAGGGTACCCTCTGCAAGGGTATAAAACAGCAACAGCAGCAAAGATTTTGGTGGTCTGTGACGCAGGAAGACAGCTCGTTGAAGCATTGTCTCTTCAAAATTTAATGAGATGAAATCGAACCTCTTCGAGTACCCGCCGACTTTAGTCTCATAGCGCATCTTCTTGAACATGATAGCTTTCAGTTGCGGCATTTCGTTAGTAAGGTTTTACTCGACTTGGAGCGATTTCTCAAAGCTGGATACAATGTTAGGAGTATTCCCAATGAGCTGGAAGGAACCCCTGATGGTAAAACTTATCTTGGAAAGAAACCATTTTACAGTCGAACTTTTCTATTACAAATTACCGTACACCACATAAGTTTTCTATATAACGTATTTATTTGTAGAACACTGCAATTCTATATTCTGCAAAAACGAATTTTATACTACGAATTTTCCGTATATCGAATTCCCCTTGAGATTCGCTATATGGATGTTCGACCGTAGTTAGCCTATAGCTTCCTCCAGTGCCTATATAATCGCCTTCCAAAAACACATCTATTGATTCGAATTCTATTATATTTGCGCCCAACTCCAAATCCTACATCGATTGCACCGACATATCGATGTTACACTTTTAATAGCCTAGTTATGGTCGTATTCCACTACACTTCAATTGATGTGTAAACAAGTGAAATATATGCATCAGATTTTCAGAAATGGAGCGTAAAAAAAGTACGATCCAATAGCTTATATAGATAGCTGTCATATCGATTAGAATACGCCCTAAATCACGAAGAAAATAAAGAAATAAACAAATCCAAAATAATAAAATATCATGAATTTAGCCTGGGTGAATACTTCAGTGTTACGAAGAATTGTTCCAATTTGACGTGACTGTTTTTGGTGCGAATCGCGAAGGTTCAAAACCAATATCGACGGCGTTATAGTAATGTCCGTATGACATACATGCTTCACCTTGTATTTCCAGTTGCAGCAGAGATTATCGATTTTTATAGTTTTTTTCTGTCGGGCCATATATGTACAAAGACAAAAGATGTTGAGTTGAAGGTATATTTACGTTATATCGATATATAGTGGTATATTTAATCAATTTGATCTATCTATTAAATTTCATTTTTAGAGGTATATTAAAAAACATAGGGTATTCCCTTTTAAACTTAGGCGCGTCCCCAAGCTTGAGTCCCATTCCATGCAAAAATGTTGCGGCAACATTAATTTGTATGGGCCAGACTCATGTGCCGAGAAAACGAGCAGCATGTACCGCGACGTAGACAACATTCTACATACCCTAGGGAAAAGGATATTATGGGATTGCGAAAATGTTTGTCATCCGAGGCTCTAATTAAGGCAGAAACTAGTCAGTCTCTGTTGTAAAGGTATTTCAACGATAATTTGCAGTTAGTGGCTTCTTACAGAGAATTGAGTATCGGGATCAGGATATACAGGAAACCAAACAGTTTGGAAAAAACTATTTTAATATTATATTTACGACATAGGGTATACTTATGCTCATACACCGGCTGATAAGCAACAAGTCTTCAATTAGCAGCAACATTGACGTGACAACATTTAGTCAAAATACAATAATTGGGAGTAATTAAAATAAGCTAATCTTGTAGAATCTCATCAATGGAATACAACTATGTGGGCAGGGCTGAAAGTCTTAGTTACTCAGCATTATTCAACGGAATATCAAAATTGAGCAATAGGGACGATTTTTCTCGTACATATGTCTTGTTAAGTTTTTTTTTACCTTCTTTGACTTTTTAACCTTTTTAGACTAAATCCAACAAAAGCAAGAGTTTAAAATAAACCAGTCATGGGGATAATAGATTCATTAATTGTATAAAACTATGTGGGCATAGCTGGGCGTTCTTTCTAGCTAGTAATATTCGACGGAATATAAAATTTGAGCAATATGAACGACTATCCTCTTTGTTGCTTTTGTTTGCCCATTTTTGCCTAAACCTTTTTTTATAACCTTTTTTAAGCAAAATCCAATTAAGAATAAACCAATTAAGTAGAAAATTGATTCATCAATCGTATAAAACTAAGTGGGCATGGCTAAATGTTCTATCTAGCTAATTATATTCGACGGAACATCAAAATTGAGCAATGTGGTATCCAATCCTTGACGGAGAGCAATTAACCTATTATAAGCCAAGGGGGTATATCAATTTTCCACCGAAAATAATGAAAATTTAATAATGTTAGTGCAGTTCAGGTGAAAGATATAGCGGTTTTGTTTAAGTCCAGAGAAAAGATAGCATGAATCTACAAGAAGAATTTACAATCGTTAATTTTTTTTCGCCATTTACCTCAAGTAGTTGAACTATTTAAATGGAAGGGGCTTAAGTGGGCTAAGTTCGCTTTTTCATCAGACCGTATACTTTATTTGCTTGCTTTAAAAAAAAAAACAGAAATAAACAGAGACGTAGATATACAGCTGTTCATCGGCCAACTGGGAAAATAAAATATTAAGCACAGAATTTAAGGACAGAAACATAAGCAGTAGCTTACGAGAAAACTGCTTCAGCATCCAAGTAAAGTTGCTGAGAGAACACCACATCCATTCGTGTGAAAATAAACGCCGTAGGTCGGAAAAGCCGGCAATCATTTTCGGTTAAAACAAAAGCGAGTTTTACGGCCAAAATATGTCACCTATGCGGTACATGGGCTGGATGACGGGCTGCTCGGTGTTAACGGTGTTTGTGTCGATTATCTGGCAGACATTCCTCACGCTGCAGACCCTAAGTAGAACCACAGTGTTGCTCACCGGTCTCCTGGCCATCGAAAGCTCGCTAAAGAGACCCGCCTACGAGACGCCTCCCAAGGTGGCCATTGGCTATGGAGCGTGCACTGATCTGCAAATCAACGCCACGGAGTTCCTAAACAGGTACTACAAAGACTACAAGATCCCCACAGTGACCACATCTGCCAGGGACGTCGTCAAAAACGAAGACGAGCTGCTGCAATCGTTTGCATATTATTTTCAGAACGGTGCTGCCGCGGAGTAAGTGGTATATTCATCCAATAGAGAGAATTTTTCCTAAACCGACTTCCCTGCAGGCGGGTGATGGCGAACGGCACGTTGTTCAAGCAATTGATTGAGTTTGCTAAGGTGATGGACAAGGAGCGTATCCATTGGTACATGGGCGGCAATGCTCCCCTGATGGCTATGCGATTTTTCATGGAGGGAGCCGAAGTCTTGCTGGGCGCACACATGTCCAAAAAGTATATTGTACCCCTC